CCCCTGCCCACCGCCTCCCCTGCCCACCACCGCCTCCCCTGCCCACCGCCTCTCCTGCCCACCAGCGCCTCCCCTGCCCACCAGCGCCTCCCCTGCCCACCGCCTCCCCTGCAAACCACCGCCTCCCCTGCCCACCGCCTCCCCTGCCTGTGCACAGTCCCGAATAGCACTGTTCGGGATGCCCCACTTGGTGCTTTGTTTGAACCTCAGGTCAGCTCCTTCAAGCTTGGCAGCTCCAGTGTGCACTGCTGTCTCTCGGGGCCACAGAGTCTCACCCCCAAGGCTCTCACTCCAAGCCCTGCCAATCCAGGGGCCCTGCCAGCTTCCCCATGCTTCCCTCATTGCCCCGGAGAGAGAAGCATTGCTGCTGGTGCGACCATAGTTTGCAGAGATTCTTTCTTTCTTTTTTCAAGACAGGGTCTCTCTGTGTAGCCCTGGCTGTCCTGGAACTCGCTCTGTAGACCAGGCTGGCCTTGAACTCACAGAGATCCACCTGCCTCTGTCTCCTGAGTGCTGGATTAAAGGAATCCTCCCCTCCCCACCAGCTACCTTGCAGGGATACTGGGTGACTTCCTTTCTTGGACTGGTGGTGAACAGAAGGAAGAATTTCGGGGGCAGGAGAACGTGGAATGTGGGGAGGATGAAGTTTTGTCCTAAGGGTTAGGAGATCTGGATGTGACATGCTGTCACCACATCATGGCCCAGATAGAGGAGCCAGGTCTTTGAAGAGGCTTAGGCCTAATCATCTTTTTTTTTTTTTTTGGTTTTTCGAGACAGGGTTTCTCTGTGTAGCTTTGCGCCTTTGCTGGAACTCACTTGGTAGCCCAGGCTGGCCTCGAACTCACAGAGATCCGTCTGACTCTGCCTCCTGAGTGCTGGGATTAAAGGCGTGCGCCACCACCGCCCGGCCTCATTTTTAAACAATGTAATAACACTTTTCTTACGTGAGAGTTGTAGGACCATCTGAAATGATGCATGTTCAAATACTTTGCGAAGTGTAGAGAATAACAAGGGGGCAGAAGCTGGGTATTGCTGTTAGTAAATAGCATCATGTCTTTCTCCCAGTGTTGATGTCTTATAAAGCGAGACACTTCCATTACCTGCTGCTGTCTTAGGGTTACTATTGTTGTGAAGAGACACCATGACCATGGCAACTCTTATAAAGGAAACCATTTAATTGAGTGGCTTACAGTTCAGGGGTTAAGTCCATTATCATCATGGCAGGAAAGATGTTGACATGCAGGTGGACATGGTCCTGGAGAGGTAGCTGAGAGACTGCCACGCTAGGCCTAGCTTGAGCATGTGAGACTTCAAAGCCCGCCTCCACAGTGACACACTTCCTCCAAGAAGGCCACACCTACTCCAACAAGGCCACACCTCCCAATAATGCCACTCCCTATTGTCCAAGCATTCAAACAGATGAGTCAATGGGGGCCAATTCCTATTCAAACTACCACACGGGCTCTGTGAGCATCTCCTAACGTGTGGATGTCTTGTTTTTCATATGGCTGTGGTATAGCCGAGTCAGGTTGTACCGTAGGGCCTGGGGTTTTGCATTCTGACAGTGGCCTTTATATGTAGGTCACCTGGTTGGAGGACTTGTGGAAATTAGAAGCTTAGGGAGTGGTGGAGGGGGAGCAGTGGGGTCATTTGTTTTGGTCTGAGTGGGAGAGGGGTCAAGAACGATGCAGGCTCACTTAAAGAAGGACCCGGGTGTGTTTTTATATGACTTGTGCTTGCCTTTCCAGAAAATTTTCTGTTAAACTTGTGTTTCTAAGTTCTTGTGCTTGGCAGGATTTAGAAAATATCAGAGATGCTGCTGTGTATCACACTCTAGGTAGAAAAACAAACCTGGGGGAAGCCGCTTCCTCGAGGTGAGGTCAACAAGAGCAAAGGGGAGTCGAACAGTGATTAAATGAGCCAAGGGCTGAAGCCTGTACATCCCTTCGGTATTATTTGGCAACTAACTGCGGGAATAGGTTGAGTGCCAGACAAAAGAGGTGACGTGTTTGCTTCTCTTATTTTTGGAGAAGATGGATGGAGGTGACAGGGAATCCAAAGACAGTGGCCACAAAGTGGCTTCTGGAGTCTGTACTCTGGAGCGCCAGCTTAGTTCTGAGATGGAAGCTGGCCTGTCCCTCGTACAGAGCGAGCAGAACCATGGAAATTGGTTGTGGTTGGGTGTGTGCTCGATTTGGCTCACACACACCCATTGCTAAAATGTTAGGAGCTGTGTCAGCTGGTGGAAGGTTAGTTACAGCCACTGTGAGGACATTTACACCACAGAAATTGGCAAACGCTCTCAATAAGGGTTGTGCTCCTCTCCATGTTGGCCTACATGTATGTGCTGTGACTGAGCACCTAATCTCTCTTTTTGTTTAAATGTAAGCTTTTTTTTTTCTTAACCAAAGAATTTACATTTCAAAATTCTTGTCCTCTTTCTAAAAGTTCAAGTCCTTCAGGACTCTTCTGGCATTCATGGCTCTCCAAGTTCCTCACACAGCATGTAGATAGTCTTGTCTTTTGACTTGGAGGCTTCAGCTTACTTCTTTCTTCAGGCAGCATTCTGTTGGCTTTCTTTCTTCCTTTCTTTCTTTCTTTCTTTCTTTCTTTCTTTCTTTCTTTCTTTCTTTCTTTCTTTCTTTCTTTCTTTCTTTCTTCCTTCCTTCCTTCCTTCCTTCCTTCCTTCCTTCCTTCTTTCTTTCTCCCCCCCCCCTTTTTTTTTGAAACAGGGTTTCCATGGGTAGTTCTGGCTGTCCTGGATCTTGCTCTGTAGACCAGGTTGGTCTAGAACTCACAGAAATCCTCCTGCCTCTGCCTCCCGAGTGCTGGGATTGGTGCCCCTGCCTTGTAAACGCTGGGATTGAAGGCATGCATCACCATACCTGGCTAACTCTGGATTATTGCCTACTCTTTTTTTTTTTTTTTTTTTTTTTGGTGGTTCATTGCTGTTGTTACATTTAAATGTCTCGGAGTTTTGTGTGTTCTATATTCACATGGTGAAATGGCATGAAAACTAAAAACTAAAAATTTTCACACAAAAAAGTGTCCTATTTACTGTGTCCATATTGTTTAGGATGTTTCTGAGAAGAGTAACGGTAGTAAGACTTTTGAAGGCAGAGAAGTCTGTCTGTCTGTCTGTCTGTCTGTCTGTCTCTCTGTGTTTGGAGTAATAGGTTTTCAGATTGATCTCCTCGAAGAGCTCAGCCTGTTTTCCTCCCTCCCTCCACTCTTTGAATTCAAAGCTTCTTGGTTCTGTCATTTTTCTTAGCCTTTTTAGTTTTTTTCCATGTAAATTGGGGTGGCCCTTGAAGGCGGATGATGAATACTGACTTACAAGAAGGAAGGAAAGCCAGGCAGTGGTGGCACACACCTTTAATCCCAGCACTCGGGAGGCAGAGGCAGGCGGATCTCTGTGAGTTCGAGGCCAGCCTGGGCTACAAAGTGAGATCCAGGACAGGCAGAACTACACAGAGAAACCCTGTCTCGAGAAACCAAAAAACAAAACAAAACAAAAAACCAACCAACCAACCAACCAAACAAACAAACCAACAAACAGAAAAAGGAGAATCCTGTGAAGTTGTAAGCACTTTGACACCCATAGACTGGTATAATATTGTTTGGTGCTAATATTTTATTTAATTTCAAAGTGACAAAAGATCTATGGAACATTAGGCAATATATTTTTATAAATAATATCACTCATTTTTGATGTTTTACCTATTTTTCTGGGTCAATTATCTATAGATGGGTCAAATCATTTTCTGGACTGTAAATGTCTGCTGTTTCCTTATCTGTTTTTGCTTTTTCAGTGTAGGTAACATCATAGGTAAGGTCCTAGACTTTGGGGTCACTGTGCTGGGTATCCCTGCCTGTAAGTGAGCTTGAACACGTGACCTTCCTTTCTCATCAAAAAGGAAGATAATGAAGATTTCCTTTGTAGGATGGAGAGAGGAATATATCAGATCATCTATTGGTCTGGCATAATAATGAAATACTTGTTCATATTTATTATTTTAAAAATGATCTCAATTGCTATACTTTTCATAAATGTGGTGAACTGTTGATGGAACAATAACTATTTAAGCTCTCTCTCTGTGTGTGTGTGTGTGTGTGTGTGTGTGTGAGAGAGAGAGAGAGAGAGAGAGAGAGAGAGAGAGAGAGAGAGAGAGAGAGAGAAGAGAAAGTGTACCATGTGAGTGTGTGACGGTGTCCTCAAAGGCTAGAAGAAAGTTGTGAGATGTCAGATGTGGGTGCTGGGAGTTGAATCTGGGTCCCCTGGAAGAGAGCAGCAAGCACTCTGAGCCTCTGAGCTGTCTCTCCATCCCCTTCCACCTTTCTACCTTTTGAGGTAGCATTTTTCACTGAACATAGGACTCAGACTGGTTGGCTGGTGAGCCTCCAAGATCCTCTGTCACCCAAGGGGCTGGAGCTCTGAGCTCAGGGCTTCATGTTCGTGCAATAAGCATAGCACCCCCAGGCCTGTGTCCCCAACCCCATTTAAAGAAAGCACGCACAATCTTCTTCCTTAGCTTGCCTCTTTGACTTTATACATTGTTTTTGTGTAGTTGGAATGTAGGGCGCATGGGCTGGAGAACATTTGTGGAGAGTTATCTGCACCCGGTCACGTTTGCTCTTGCTTGGTAGTGGGACCAGGTGAGGTTTGGGTGGGAGAGGTTGGGGTGTCCATCATATTTTGCTGAAAGAAATTTACTTGGGAAGGAGGTAAACACAGGATAAGCAGGAGAAAATGTTCTCTGCCCTGAGCAGAGGTGCTAGTGTGGCCTTCAAGATGGCTGCTGGAGATTTAAAAAAAGTGTGTGTGTGGGAGGGGCATTTGTCACTGAATGTAACGGTCAGGGAAGGCAGGAAGAGGCGTGATTGTTAAGGACATGGATGTGGAAGGACATGAGAGTGAACTCAGTCCACTCGGGCTAGTGTTTTAAGAGACTGTGTAGGAGTTCTCAAAGGTCCTGGGATTATGCTGGTAGGTAGACAAAACCAGCTGCTCTCCCTGAAAGCATGAGGGCTGGTCAGCCAGAGAACTAGAGGCTTTTCTTCCAGTTAGACAAAATGTGATTCTCTGTGTGTGTGTCTGTGTGTGTGTGTGTGAGAGAGAGAGAGAGAGAGAGAGAAAGAGAGAGAGAGAGAGAGAGAGAGAGA